TAGAAGGTCCCTTTCATCTATTTTATCTTCTCCTGGTTGTAAATTTTTCAGAATACTTGGAAGACTCTTTATGTTGTGGATTAGGACTACTAAAGTTTTTCCAAGCTTTTCTTGAATGAAGTTTATAGTCCTTGGTTTTAGTCCTAGGTCCATGATCCAGCTTGAGTTAGTTTTTGTATATGGAGTGAGGTGGGGATCTTGTTTAATTCTTGTGCAGATAGATTTCCAATTTTACCAACACCATTTGTTAAAAAGGCTGTCATTTCCCCACCTAACTGATTTCATCTGCTTGTCAAAAATCAGTTGACCATAAATAGATGGGCTGATTTCCGGGTTCTCATTCCAAATGAAGCTGGAGATTGCCTTTTCCATCTCGTTGAAGAATGGAATTGGTATTTGTATTGGGATTGCATTGAACGTGTATATTGCCTTTGGTAGTATTGCTATTTTCACAACATTGAGCCTTCCTATCCATGAGCAGAGGATATTTTTCCACTTCTCCAGGTCTCTTTTTTGTTTCTTGTAATAATGTTTTGTAGTTTTCTTTGAATAGATCTTTTGTGGTAAGCACATATTGTAATAGAATTTACCAGTTCTAACGTAGCAAAATGGCTGAGATAGGCTTTTCTGAGATGCCTCAAATTGGGGGTAGGAAAAAGCAAGAGGTTAACTTAGAGAAGGAACCCAAATCAGGGTAAGTGCTTTGCAGGTCTGAGAATTAGAGGTGGAAAGTATTAGACAGAAAAAGAGTTGAGGACAAGAGAAAGTAAGAAAGAAGCTAGTCCCAAGAAACAACAGGCCTTTACTACGTGGTCTGAGAGGGATGCCAAGTGACCTGACTGCACTGAGAAGGTAGAAATGGGACAAGGGCAGTATCTAGCGCTGTCTCTTTTTATAGGAGTTTTAGGGAGGACTAGGGAAGATGTTCTTGTTTTTGGTCAAACATTTTTCTAGGTCATGTAGCCCTGGTGTGTCCACTTGCAGTACGTACAGAGGTAACTTGGGGTTGCTGTGAAGCTGAACACTGTGCCACTGATGTGTCAAATGCGATAATGGTTACCCATGGTGGACAGTGTTTGGTGGAGCTCCCCGATTAAAACAAACTTAGAAGCAGGAGCGGCATCCACTTCTATAAATAGCTTGCCTTGGAAACCCTATGAACCTGTAGAAAGGATGAAAGTCCTGCAAGTGTAGGGGACTTTCATTCATAGGGTCGCTATGCAACTCGTCGGAATTTAGGGCTGTTATTAACTTGGGTTTGGGCTTTTGTGTTCAGAGTCTTATCAGGTTCCGTCATCTGGTCTGGTCTTGGATCTGGCCACCTTAGATGTTATCAGATTTCTCAAGGAGTTGCCTGGGGGGCAACCGCAACATTCTTTACATTCTCAGTGAAGTGGGAAGAAAGGCAGGGATTTCTTAAAGCAATACATTTTGGAACTGGAAAGGCATTATTAAGGGATTTTAAACATAGAAATTATTTGATCTGATGTTTGTGTAGCGTACTGTTCTGTATACTTTGCCCAAACGTTGTACCTTCTCCGCCTGCCCCCTCTAAGTCGTTAAAGCATCCCTCCAGACTTGGGAGAGAACAGTGGTGGAGGTCACTTAGCCGCTTGTTGAAGAGGAGGCGCTTTGAGGTGACTTCAACTGTGCATGGCGGGATGAGGTGTTCGGGAAGGCGGGGTGCGGTGATCGGAAAGGCGGGGTGCGGTGATCTGGAGGGAGGCGCTCGGCGGGCCGGGTGTGCATCTCAGCTGTAGGTCCAGATCCTAGATTCGGACAGGCCTCTGTGCAGGTAGGTTCCAGCTTAGGTAAACTCTGCCACTGTCAGCAACGTCGCCTCCGCCAGGCCCCGCCCCTCCTTCCCGACAAGGTCGTGCGTAGCGGCCAGTCCCTCGGGGTTGTCATCAGCACCGGCGGCAGAGAAGGGCTGACGGCCCCGCCCCGCGCCGCCCCGCCCTCCTGGCCGCAGCCGCCGCGCGTGCCCAGTCTCCGCTCGGGCCCGCGCCCTCTTCCGCGCCACCTCCCACGCGTCCTCCGCGCCTGCCGCGCCCGCACCGACGTCGCTCTCGCCCTGCTTGAGGCGGAGAGGCGAAGCTTCGACGTTGGGCCCGCCGGGGTAACGGAACTGACGCCAGCTGGCTTCCGGGGGCGTCCCCTGGGGGAGGTCGGTGGCACGGCAGTCGCGGAGGAGCAGTAGGAGCCTTAGCAGCCGCGGACGATGCAAGTTGCGGACGGGGCTCCTCTCTGTCACCTCATGCCTCACCTTCCTCTCCTCTAGTCCTGCGCTGTCGCCCTGCAGCGGCTCTTCCTAACGGGAAGCCTTCGGAGTGCGGTTGCTGAAGCGACGCCGTCACCACCCGGGTCCCGGGGCCGAGCGAAGGTGTCTGTCGCGCCGCGTCGCCCCCTCGCGCCGCCTCCTTGCCCCCAGTGGTGGGCGCCGTTCTCCCTCGGAGCACTGCCCCCAGCTCCATGAATGGAAATCGGCTCCGCAGGTGAGTGAGTGAAGGCCGGGCTGGACAGGTGAAGGTGTCACTCCCCAGAGAGCTCTCTTCCCCGGTGCCCGGGGGCGCAAGGTGGGCGCCGTCCGGGTGTCTTGGACCTTCCAGCCTCGCCGCAGCCCCGCCGCAGTTCTCCGGGGCCACTGAGTTGGCGAAAACTGCCTGGAGAGAAAACTGTACTTAAAAGGTCTAAGTTAGGGTGGTGTTTAGGTGATATTACTCATTTGTCCCGGAGACTCTAGAAAGGCTTGTCATCGCTTTTGTTATTCCGGTTGAAGTAACGGTGTTGGTGTGCGTGTCCTTTAACTGGGGTGTGTGTCCTGGAGAGCCTCTGGGTGGCGAGCCACCCCCGCTGCTTCCCTCTGGGGTGGTTGTGAAGCTACATTGAGTTAGTGAAGGAGAACTATGTGAAATAGGTATTAGGCGTAACGTCAGCTGCAAGATGGCATTGCTTCCCTCTTCAAGAGAGCTGCCAATGCTTGTGGCATCCTGGGGTATAGTTCCTGAGGAGCTTTGGAGATGTCAGTTGAGCCTGGAGATGTCAGATCACTTCTCTGATGTGCGTGTGTTCATTCTGTGTCTGTGTGCTCATTCTCTGTGTGTGTGTGTGTGCATATGTCCACTCTCCATTCCTCAGAAAAGCACACTTACTTTCCTGGAAACTGGGAATATAAGAAAACTGCTGGCTGTCTTGGGGAAAACAGCAGTAACGAGAAAAAGTGCAATAAAGGCAGTACTTAAAAAAAATCTCGCGTGGTTCTAAAGTAATTGAGGGACATACAACAGCAGTTACATAATCGCTGTTTGCTTATCAAATAATCATACTTGTATATTATATTTTAGTAAGCCTCCTCTAGGTGGTCACCGACTTACAAAATAAGAATTTTTGAGGGGTGTGTGTGGGGTGATTGCCTTCTTGTTATTAAAGATATTTAAGAGTCCCTGAATTTTGCTTTTTATTTTGCCAGTTTGGGAGGTCCCTGTGTGTAATATAAATAATTTTTTTCATTACATTAGGGAGAATAACCGTCAATTATATTGAAAAGGGTTCAAAAATTAGGGAAGTAAAATAGAGGGGGAAATGCATTACAGGTTTTTGTATAAGCTTTATTACATGGGATTTGGTCTAATCAGCTTCTCTTTGGGATGCTCCATTTTAAACCAGTTCAACATCTTTTTTAAATATGCAGTTTGTCTAAATGGTGAAGAATCTTGTGAATTCAGAAAGTATCCTGTCCTCATATCTACTGTACTGTATGTTTTCATTGGAGGGGGCAGGGGGAAGGAATGGGTACCAGCAGTCAGGAAAGCAAAAGACCAATTGTATTGGGAAAGTCTGCGGTCAGGGACATCTCCAGAGTACCGAAGAGCAGTGAGTCTGGACACTAAAGTGCACCTATTCTCAATTACGTGCTATACATCAGAAAGCTGGACAATAAGGATGATAGAAGGTGAATTGATGCCTTTGAGCTGTGGTGCTTGAGAAGAGTATTGAATATACCGTGGACTCAGAACAAACAGATTTATCCTGGAGAGGGTGAAACCAGGTTATTCCTTGGAGGCAAGGATTCTGAAACTTCGTCTGAAACCCGGTCTTCTAGGGCAATATTCAGAGTCTCTTTTGACATCCATTTTGATCTTTTCTTCTTCCTTCTTTTTAATTACTTGCATGAATGATATCTTGATATCTTCCCACAGCGGATGTGGTTTTCCTTCATTAGTGTTCAAGGCCTCAAACCTGTTCCTGAGTTGGTTTTTAAATTCATGGGGTATAGACGCAAGATCAAGGTTTTGATTCCTGTGGATGTGATTTAACTCATTTTTGCTTTAATTTGAACTTGCATATGAGTAGTTGATGGTCTATTCCACAGTCAACACCTGGCCTAGTTTTCACTGTTGATACTGAACAGTGATTCCTTCCACAGCTGTTAAGATCTGATTCCTGTGAATCCCATCAGATATAGCTTGCATTTATGTTTCTTATAAAAGGTATTTGCTGTGAATAAATCATTGAGTGTACAGAATTCTACCCCAGCCTCATTTCTGTCATCAAGTCCATATTTTCTGACTACTGATCCTTCTTCCTGGTTCCAAACTTTTGCATCCCAGTCACCCATTATAATGAATGTGTCTTGGTTACATGTTTGATCGATTTCTGACTGTAACAGTTGATAGAAATTATCCAGTTCCTCCTCTTTGGCTCTGGTTGTAGGTGCATAAGTAATGCAGAAGTATGTTTATTTTAATTTTTATGCATACATATTATACATAGGGGGCTCTGGTGGATTAGTGGTTAGGAGTTGCACTACTAACTTACAGGCACGCAGTTCCACTAGGTGCTCCATAGGAGAAAGATAGACAGGCTCCTCCGATGTGATTTACTGTCTCTGAAAACCCACGAGTGGGTCAGCTATGAGTTTATTCCGTGGTCCATAACAACAACAATGTATTATATACATGGTTGCCATAGAGTCAGCTATGACTCTATGAACCACAAACCTGAACCTTGTCTAATACTGTGCTATCTTCATCATTTCTGACATGCTGAAGTCCATCATTACCATTACTGTGTCAATCCATTTGGTTGAAGGTCCTCTTATTTGCAAACGTCTACCTTTCCAAGCATGATGTCCTTTTCCAAGGAATAGTCTTTCTTAACAACATGTCCTAAGTATGTGAGATAAAGCTTTGCCAATTTTGCCTCCAATGAGCACTCTGGCTGCACTTTCTCCTAAGACATATCTATTTGTTCCTTTTGCCATCAATGGGATATTCAGTACTCTCTCCAATATCACAGCTTGAAGGCATCGATTCTTCTCATTTATCTATTTATAATATAATGTATTTATATTTCATTTATTTTGTCTTTCTTTATTCCTGTACCATTGCTGAAATATATTTCACTGTAGGCAGCTATACTAGATGTATCAATTTGTGTTTAGACATCTTTTTTTAATTTTTATTGTATTATTTTTCCGTGTACCATCGAATCAGAAATGACTGGTATAGGAGGAGATTGCTCCCTCCTTCTCCAGCAGAGCATCTGGTGGATTTGAACTGTGTACCTCTGGGATTGCAGTGCAGCTTCTTGCCACTAGGCCACCAGAGCTCCCTGTGTTTAGACATCTTGAATCACTTATTCTTTAGTGCAGTTTACACATGATTTAATTATAATAACTGAAATAAGTTATAGTGTGATTCAAAATTATCTTCAGCAAAAACCAAGATTTTCATCTTACCAAAGACTTATAATTGTTATAAACCACTTGCTGCTTTTGAGTTAATTTTGTCTCATAATGACCCTTTCAGTTTTCTGAATCTTTAAATACTTACAGAAAGAGACTGTTATTGTCCCATGAAGCAGCTGTGGATTTGAACCACTGATGTTTCAGTTAACAGTACAGTATGTACCGCATCATGCCACCAGAGCTCCCATAATTGTTATGTTGCATATAAAATGGAACACGGAATTGGGAAAATGTGCAGTTAAGTCTTAAATCAAGAACTTGACAAGAAACGTTAATATATTTTGGGTTTAAAAATATTTTAGGTGCTAATGTGCTTTATTGAATTAATATTGGATTTGCTCTTCCTTTATTCTGTAGATTTTCCTTCCTTATGGAGATTCTCAGTAATCATATAAGATTTTTGTATCAGTGGGTTTGACATTGTCTTAATTGTTATGTGGGCACATAGAAAACATAAATTTATATTAAAAGATTGAAATAAAAACTTCTTGCTGTCAAGTTGATTCTAACTCATAGCAACCTTGTTGGGCAGAGTTCAGTTGCCTTGTAGGGTTTCTAAGTCTGAAATCTTAACAGAAGCAGATTGCCACAATTTTTTCCTGTAAAGTGGTTGGTGAGTTTAAACAGCTGACATTTTGGTTGCCAACTTAGCACTTAACCACTGTGTCACCAGAGTTCTTCTACTAAATGTTAACATTTATCTGTTGTTACCTTTTATTTGAAATATTTGAGGTGATTTTTAAGAATATTCTCTACTATTTATAGATTTGGTTTTGTCTTAATTTTTATTTAACAAAACTATCTGGTATTGTTTATTTTAAAAATAATATTTAGTTTAGCATCTATGTGTTAGAGGAACTTCTGATAAAACAGGGTTTTTTTTTTTAACTAAAGTAGGTATTTACTGTGTTCTAGTTCTAAATGCTGTGTTCTAGTTCACTGACTTTGGCCACTTTGAATCAGAAAATCACCTGGTGTGCTATGCCAGGAATGAAAAATAAAGGAAGATTGGTGCTGCATTCATAGTTAAAAAGACAATAAAATAAAAAAAAAGACAATTTCAAGTTACATCCTGAAGTCCAATGTTGTGATTGATGTTGTTGTTATGTGCCGTTGAGTCAAATATGACTCATGGTGACCCTATGCTCAATAACTCTGATCTCTGCCCTATCCTGAGCCAATCTCACTATATCTGACATGCCTACCCTCATTACCCTAGTTATTATGTCAGTCCATCTCATCTGAGGTCTTCTTCTCCTGTGCTGTTCCTTGACCCTTCTAAGCTTGATGTCCTTTTCCAAAAACTGATCCCTCCTGGCTACATGCCCAAAGTTTGTGAGACAGTCTCTAAATCCTTGCCTCCAGGAGCAGCTTGGTTTCACCCTCTCAAGGAAAGACCTGTTCTTTCTCTTTACAGTCCATTATATGTTCAGAACTTTTCTCCAGCACCACAACTCAAAGGCATCAGTTCTTCTGCCATCCTTATTCATTGTCCAGATTTCTGATGCTAAGCAAATAATTGCGAAGGCCATGTCCTGGGTCAAGTCCACCTTAGTCTTTAGACTGACATCTTTGTTTTTCAGTACTCTGGAGAAATCCCTAACAGATTTCTCTTTTAGAATTAATCTTTTGATTTCCTGACTGCTGGTGTGCCAAGAGTGTTTATTGTGGAACAGAGCAAGCTAAAATTTTTAACAATCTCAATCCCCTCACTATCTATCATGATGCTGTCAATTGGCCCAGCGA